CCCAAATGTGAATGCATGTTGTTGAATGCTGCAGTAAGCAATATTTCATCTTTATCTCAGCAAGCTGCAAATAATTTGTTGTGGACAAGGTCAACCAGTGTCTCAAAGCACAAGCAGCGAACCACGCCATGGATGTGTGAAAGCGAATATTATCCTACCCTATTTTTTATCCCGGGGATGACATTCTCCAGTGTCAGGATGATTCTCCCTAGTGTATTTGAACCCATACCAGTGTGTTTAATCCCATGTACTATACTCTAGAGTAAAACTTCCCCCGGGATAATATTTAGGTAGGATATAATCCTTGCTTACAGATGCATGGAGACACACATTCAGCCTCATCAAAGAGCCAAAGAGCCACGCCTTCATATATTTCTTTCCAAAAGGAAGCACTGAAATTTATCCGCAACACCCTATGCCAGAGTTTTCAATACAGCTATGTATTCAGCACAGCATACAGTTTATTAAACTAACATTTAGTCTCTGAAATCTTATATTACACAATTTCCTTCTTGACTCTAAAAATAAAATAGAGCTAGCTTGAACTGGCTAGACTTGCTTTTGTTTGCATTTCTAGATTATTATTTTTCATAAAATAAATATATTCCACGGTCATGGTGCAGGACTAACAGTTTATCAGAGAACCTAGACTGTCATTTAGTCCTAGAAACAAAGTTATCTTATGTATAAACATCCAAATGGAGCCCAGAAATCCTTAGGCTACCTAGACTCCTTTCTTAAGTTTTTTTCTCAAGGGTCTGAGAGACAGACTACTTGCAGTAGGGGGCGGTTGGGTAGCCTAGTGGTTAAAGCGTTCGCTCGTCACGCCAAAGACCCGGGTTCGATTCCCGACATGGGTACAATGTGTGAAGCCCATTTCTGGTGTCCCCCGCCGTGATATTGCTGGAATATTGCTAAAAGTGGAGTAAAACCATACTCACTCACTCACTCCCTTGCAGTATGGTGGAATGTCACAAAGGGAAAATTACTAAAAAATATTAACAGTATCTTTTTTTTAATGAAAAAGGATCACATAGTATTTAGTTTACTATGTGACAAATATCTGTCTTACATTTTCAAAAATGGAATTCAAATCTTCAATTAAACATCAGCTATTATTGCATGTAACATTATATAATTTATTGTTATGGAGTGAGTTGGGGTTTAGGCTCCCTAACAACCAATACACCTGTCCCTAGTTTTCCAGTAAACTTTTAATTTGGACCCATGTGTACAAAGTTGATATACCTATTGACTCACAAACACTGATGTTATTGTGCACATAATGCCAACACCAAAAATATAATACGACTCTAGTGTTTAATCAAGGATATCTGGCATTTCATGACTTCATCCATACCTCTTAGTCAATTGTGATAAATATTTACCTTGATATTTCGCCAGTACAAGGTATTCATATGATATGACTGCGCTGTTGCGATGTATTTCTTAATAGTACATGGATTTAGGGAAATATTTTGCCAAGGAGAGACCTATTTATGTCAAGGAAGTTAGAGTTACTTCCCTTTAAAGTACCACAATAGTCCTTTGAATAAACTGTGCAATGTTAATCCTCGTGTAGCGGCCATGAAAGTTATTTCTGAGTCCCATGATGGGATTTGAACCATGGACCTTCTGACACGAGGTCGAATGCCTTGTCAACATGACCAATGAGGTTAGCCCGGTCAGCAAGATGACAAGGTTAGGATGTCATCTGTTGGAGGACTTCACGCCCTGCTACACTTGAACCAGTTAAAATAACATACACAATCATCTCTCAGAACAATTAAATAGCACACAAGTCTAACAACATCATAGTTTCCATTATTATGTACAGAAGATTTGGAAATTAATTCATAGACTAAAATAATAAAATACAAAATTCACAGATTTCAACATATTTTTTTTCAGTTCTTCAGTCACACTGTAGCCACGTCCCCAGAAACATGTTGGGGAGGTTGTCAACATATGTATCTTTTAACTGAACCTTTCCCATGCCATCCATAATGAAAATAAATTATGTTCATGCTGAACATGCTTACCCCATAAAGTCTAGTGTTAACAGGTATGATTAGGGAGGGCTATGAATAGTCCCATATTATCACTGTCCTTGGGACAGTCAGTGCACAAATGTGTAAGAAACATACAAATTTTGGCCATCTTTAAGTTGGCAAACTTTAATATTGCTTCCTTGGATTCTCATTAAACATTAGGAAGCAACCATTTGATTGTGTGTGTGTGTGTGTGTGTGTGTGTGTGTGTGTGTGTGTGTGTGTGTGTGTGTGTGTGTGTGTGTCTGTGTGTGCATCTGTGTGTGAGTGGTGTGTGTCTGTCTGTCTGTGTGTGTGTGTGTGTGTGTGTGTGTGTGTGTGTGTGTGTGTGTGTGTGTGTGTGTGTGTGTGTGTGTGTGTGTGTGTGTGTGTGTGAGAGAGAAGAGCTGGGATTTGAGTTTGAGATGAGCATGTATATTGTTTTGGAGCTCAATTATCTTTTTCTGCATAGACAGGCATTCAAGTATTATTTCTGGAATAGATAAAATTAATAAACTGTATTCTTTGAAAAACCTGACTGCAAGAAAAAGGAAAATAATTATATAATTTTATTTCTAACAATGTGAGCCATATGTAAAAACAAAATTCAGTAAACAAAAGACAGTGTAAAATGGTTGCTCCCTAATTTTCATATCTTTATTTCTGCACCAAATTTCGCTCATTATTGTGTGTGCATGTTAGCAATTTTTGCACCGGGGGTCAAGATTCTATTTGATTAAAATACTCGACATAAATTACTACACATTTGCAGCACCAAAGTTGACAGCAAAAATACTTAAACATGTCATATTTAATAGTTTGATCAGAGTTGAGACAATGAGTAGTAAAGTCTGAATGAAATGCTGCACAAAATTAAAAAAGAAATATGCTTATAAAGATTTAACACAGAGAACTATATCTGCAGACTTGCTAACAGTCATTAACAGTAAATATGTATTTCTTCCCTGATGCATAGCTTAGAATGCACCTGAACATTCAATAAATCACAGTTTTATCTATCCAAATAAAGCATAGGTTTCATAAATAACAATTAAATGCTCGCATGTCATTGTATTCATTTACAGAAATTGATCAGAAAACTCTCTACTCTAAAATCCTAACAGCAAGCTTACAAGAGTTGTCTCCCTTGACCCAACCCCTCATTCAACTGGTGTCTCTGTTAGTGTAAGGTTACACATCCAACTTGCACACTACTCTATTATACAAATACATCTGTTAGAATCAACATGGCATATATGTCTGTTACGACAATGAAGAGGGTATTGATAAAAAAAACAAAGGAGAGACCAACAACTGAACACAAACAGCATCCGACAGGCCGGCTGTATCGGGGGTCAGCAGCCCTTACCTTCGAGACGAAGGTTGGCATAATATCTCACCCCATCGTAAAGAGAGGAACTCACTACAAACAGCATGGTGAACAAACATCAATACTCATGTGGTAAACAGTATATACATGACATTATCACCGGCCTTAAAGAGTCACATTAAACTTGAGTCTTAATTACAAAGTAGATAATCTTCACTCAGAGCTCCAAATTGATCTAACACTTAATCTTAATAGGTCGAGTGAGCAAATCAATGGGCCTTAAAAAAAGTAGTTAAGTGTTTTTATATTTATTTTCAGGGGTCAGTGACCCAGACAGTACCCCCGATCATCTGTTGTTGACAATTGTCTTGAACAATCAAATCGTATCATCTGTACAGAAAAGCCTCGGCTGGGAGTCAGTCTAAAGGAATGTTTGCTTCTGAAGTGAGGGTCTACCTCTTAATAAAACAATTAAACATAACTTTACCAAAATTCTCACAATAAATGAAGACGTTCAGTCCGAGTTCAGATGCAATAGGCCACTGGAAGAATGACAAGCTTGATATAACTATTCCTGCATCTTGCCAGGAACCTACGATTGTGGGTTCGAATCCCAGATTAGCCATCATTATCACCCTTGTTTTGACAGCACCATACCCATGTTTATGGGTTTCTTCAAATGGCACACGTCATCACTTTGGGCTTTCCTCCACTATTGATCCAACCTGCCATGTTGTAACTGATATAATGTTCAAAACGGCATCAAACCCATCACACTAACTATTCCCAAAACTGAAACATTTTCCAATCCATTGTACAGCCTTTGTTTCACCTACATCCTATTTTCCCTGCCAGACGCAGATCCATAAACCGCCATGCATATGTGAAATTGTAAACGTGGCTGACAACAATGCTTAATTTCTTTTGAGCATCCTCAGATTCCTGAAAGACGTTATAAGCATGTTACAACATACGATTAATCAACACAAACACATATTGCTTGAATGGTTAAGATTTGAGAAGAGTTGATATTAACAAACAGTAACACAGTGCGCTGTGCTTGAGTGTTTCCGCTGTGCAAGAAAAGTGTCCTTAGAGCCGTCAGTCACTTAGACAAGGCTATGCCATTCAAGGTGTTACTGGTCCTTGTTACACAAATGTTCACAATGTGTCGGAGGAGCAAATACGATCAAATCAGAATCAAACTTCCACAATAAGAAAAGGACTAACATATCTGTGTTTCTTCTCTGGTGTTTGGCCAACAATTCTGATACTCTCAACTATTATTATATAATGGTGAAGTAACAAATTGTTAATGAAATCCAAACCATCATATAACGTTTGTCCACTTAGCCATCTTACCTCAGATACTCATACACAGACATAGACATCATTTGGTGTAAGTGGGGCCTCGTTATTTAAAGGTTTGGATTTCTTTAACATATTGTTTCTTCGCCACTCTTACATCCTGAAACAAAATACTTTTCGTAACCGGTCCTCTCAAAATTAGCACATACAGCATCAGACAAATCAAAGCCCACAAGATGGCCGTCTGTCCACGACACCTGGAATGGCATAACTTGTATTCATGTCAGAAACATTTATGGTTATTATAAAATTTAAACTTGAACTGCACTCACCAGAATCTAAACTTTTTTTGTCTCGTAAATTCTCATCCCCTTCGTCTCCCTCCTCCCTGAGGTGGCTTGAGAGACTTGTCTTGTCTTCCCGCCATTCGTCCGTTTCATGCTCGGCCAGTACTGACAGCCGATCGGGAGTCATGGCTTGGTGGACGTCTGTGTCAGAGCAGCCAAGTTGGTTAAGCGGAACAGCCTCCTCTGGAATTGGGGGGTTTTCCGGATCCGGAATGCGATCGAGTGCTTTTGCTTTTGAGCGAATATCTCTCCGTATCGACGGCAGCCGCAATCGTAGGCTCCGGTGTCGATCCGACTTACGCCCTGGGGATACAACTGAGATAGATCGGTTCACATGCCCCTTATTCTCATGACAATAAAATTCACATAATCAATTTACGAAATATCAGTGGAAATCTCCGTGAATCATCTCAGTCAAGGGATATCCACAGTGAGTGAGTGATTGTGTTTGGTTTAAAAAGGCTCCGAAAAGATTTTTTTCAAATTACCACCACTCACGAGAAGGGAAGGGCTGCAGACAGACCAATGAGCATAACTGGGATATAACTAGGATACCATATTTCCTCCATTAAATGCCTGGCCTCCAATACACGCTGGCCTCTCATTTATTCCGGGTCAAATGCTCTGTCCAAAAAATAGAAACTATTCATCATTTGGTGAAATTAATGATCCCTATCACATTAACTAAGGCATTTAATGATTACTCCCTTCCCTTAATAATGACCATTTCCTGCAAATGTACCCTCTGTATGACTAGAATTTGGAATTCAGAAAGGTAGTGAGTTGGCAGTGTGCTTCTAATAGAGGAAATATGGTATATCTAACCGATCAGTGGGTCCTGTAAACTAAGGGATGCAACTCTGCATATATTAATTACGGTTCTTGTCATCTTGTACGACTTGTATTTCAAGGTCTGCAACAATTAATGCTGTAACTGTGTCTTGTCATGACCATACCGGTAAATACAATAATAATACCACAGATAGTAGTGGGATACTTGGAATATTATCAGATTGTAATAAACACACCAAAGTACTACTAAGGTAGGGATGTTTCATTGGTTCATCTACACTATCATGATGCAGGGATCCATAATCAGTGCTTCAAAAAGTGTTATTTCATTTTAATCATTCATTTTTTAAATATTTTATTAAATAAAATATTTAAAAGCTTATGCTATTAAAAATCAATACTTACACAAAAACACACTCATCACTACTTGCAAAAAAACTTTTTTACATGTCGGTACATTCTATTATATGCAGTGAAATTGTCAGCCATCAAAACAGGCTGAATAAAAAAATGTTTCTTGGCCATATTTTTCTCAACAGTGGGGGGGGGGGGGGGGAGCTAGTACATTTTAACATATTATTATACATAACAAAATGGGATGAGAGAGGAACACTTTTTTATTTTTTCCCACCAAGAATACCAACATACACAACTGGGAACACATGGAATTTAATAAAATTAAATTTGATAAAATGTCAGTTGTCAAGTATGTCATTTTATTAATAACAGGGTATGTTCCACATTGAATCTTAAAACATTTTTTACATGGGAAATAAAAATGACTGGCATGCAGGACTTAAAGTGACACGCTGATGGCCAAGAAACATTTAATGTTTAAAAATAGTTTGTGTATGTGATATGTGGCTGTCATGCAAGTGCATAAAATTACTTTTCAATTTTCAATTGTGGTGCTTGATGCTTGGCATCAATGTTATAATTAAATGAACATTTTGGGAAAATGTTATCGAGAGAAACATCTGAATGTAAAGTTCCACAAAACCTGGTACAGCAGTTTCAGAGATTGAGATTTTTAATTTTCTTTAAAACAATGTTAACAATAAGAAATGTTGATGTTTACACCTAAATAAACCTTGCAAATAGTTCTGTACTTTCTATCTATGTAATTTTCGCTCACTGTGGTGTATGTGACTTCTGTGGGGGATATTCTAACAATTAGTTGAAAATCTCATTTTCTTTTTCAATTCCAGAAAACAAATAAATTCTTTATTAAATAATCAAATATGAATCCCATTGCAGTGCTACCAGTTTCCACTGCATAGGTCTAGTGGCGTCTGAAGACAAAATGCTAAAACATTTTTAGCAATTTCAATACACCTTTTTAACAGAACATTAACATGAAACAAGAAGTCCTTTCCCAAAATCAACAAATCAAGCAAATACCAATCCTAGTACAGTCCTATTACATACCATCAAAAAGTTTCAGCTCCCTTGGCCTTGTTGTTTCTGAGGAGTAGATTCATAACCTTGTTTAACTTTAGAAATGATTAAAAAAAATGAAGTCCATCTTCATGAGTGAGTGAGTATGGTTTTACGCCGCTTTTAGCAATATTCCAGCAATATCACGGCGGGGGACACCAGAAATGGGCTCCACACGTTGTACCCATGTCGGGAATCGAACCTGTGCCTTTGGTGTGACGAGCGCACGCTTACCCACGAGGCTACCCAACCGCCCCCCATCTCCATGAACAAATCCTAGTCCCATTATGTGGACATACATCATGCAAATATTTGTGTTTCCTCAGCTTGGAGGTTTCTGGAAGAAGGTTCATATACATGGTTTCCAATTCTCTTAAATTTACATATTTTTGCAATGAATTCAGTGCCAGACACCCTTGCAACGTTTCAGCAGCATCCATTCAGTTGGTTCAAAGGAGAAGTAGGATGTCAACCTAGTAAGGAGCAATGCGCTAGCTGAAAGCTCACCTGGACCGGTGGTCCTGGTGAGCTAAACACTTAAGTCAAGATAAACATCAACATCATGATACACACAGGTACTCATGATTTCTTAAATAAATGCAAATTACAAGTAACAATGACAATATATTAGTCATCATTATCAGACCAATGATTAATGATGAAATCCCAACTGATTTCAAACAGGTAGCATAAAATAGCAAACCACATGGCTCTGTAGCTCATGGTGACCCTATGCAACAATCGAATCTTAAGATGTAATACATGGGCACACAAGATACAGCAAAACATTGACAACCTAACTGATAGACTAATGCTTAGTCTCTGAAAATATATACAGTATTCGATGTAATAAGCGGCCATGGCGATATTTGCTAATTTATTGGCTAGGGGAACAATCCCAGTTAGCACCCCTTCCAATTGATCAATGTATACAAGACTTATTTATTCACGTATAATACACACTCGTGTGTTATATGCACCCTTAATTATGGGCAATTAAATTCTGGAAAAATATATCTGTCGTACATAAACATTTCAGGCTGTCAGCATAAACCACGAAATTTATCTTTCAACTCTCTTTTTTTTCACCAAAATAATATTCTAATAAGAGTGCCCCTATTTCTAATTTATAGTGCACCACTATTTTGGGGGGTTCATCCCAACAGAGATCCAAGTTTCCAACACATATTCTTCCAGATGTGATGAAATGTGAAAATTTACAGAAAGATGGCAAAAATCCTTTTTTTCAAGAGTAAAATACTATGTCTGGAATCAAACCTGGTCTTGTGGCATGATAAGCAAACACATTATCCTTTAGGCCAACCAACTACCGGTACTTCTCCATCTACTCATGCCATATATTATATTGAGTGAGTGAGTTACTTTAACACTGCTTTGAACAGTATTTCAGTCAGATCACTTCGTTTGAGCTTAATATGGGAGGAAAACCCGAAGTGATGCAGGTCTCAGATGTTTACCACTTTGGTGAAACCCAAGAGCATGGGTATGCCGCTGACAAACCTACAAACATATTTGGGGCGAAGCAGGAATCGAACCCTTATCAGAGTCATTTCACTTTTGACAGTCCATATAACTGTGAATGAGTTCTCTATGCCGGATAGGTTCTATCACAGCTTGTCAACAAAGAAGTCCAAAGTGATGCAGATCTTTGAAATGTTTACCACTCTGGTGAAACCCAACAGGACGGGTATAGTGCTGACAAACCAAACAATAATCAGTACGAATGTGTGATTTGAACCCAGACCATGGCATGCCTGAGGCACCCTGTAGACAACTGGGACGGACACCTGTGCACCTCCTTTTTAGGGTTTCACTTGACAGTCATGTGCGGCTTATCATATTTATTCATATCTATAATTTTCTTTACCAAGATATATGTACAATTTACATAAAAACTATTGCAAATCTTCAATGATGTTTTGAGCATTATATTAGTTATATCAACGCATGCTACAATTCAGTGTATATCAATGTCAGCCTTGGTATGTGATATAACACATATCACCCCAGTGTTGGTGACATTGTACCATATATTCAGCATTGAAAGAAAATGTGTATCTATTTCTTTTTCTTAACACATAGAACAAATAGACTCCTGACTTAAAACACTAAGACAGGGCCAGAGTGGCCACACAGACTTGAGATCAAGAATTGTTGTTTTCATGAATATCAGCTTTTAGAATGGATTGTTGCCATGGTAATCATATGCAGTCAGTAGGGAGTGTTGTCATGGTAATCTGATGGTGTAATTTAACACTGCTTCTAGTTTACTGGGTCCTGACAAGGTGACATTCACTTATCTAGTTTAATGACACACAGATACTAGAGCCACATGTAAAATATACACTTTTGTGCCCAAGCAGTTACTTTTTGAAGCATTCATAAAATCTCCTTAACAGCCACTGCATGTGTTCACCAGTGACACACAACACTTCAAGCTGACACTCCCCCAAGTTACATCTTGTGGTACATATAACAGTAGTTGTCCTAAGAAGGAGCTCATGCTTGGACTTGCAAAGAATATCAGTTATTGCAGCATTATTCTTAATATATTATGAATTTGTGTACTTCCAAATTTATAACTGATTTGTGACCTGTGTTCTGTGCACAGGACCGTGTGCCCCCACCTCATCACACGAGATACTGCCACTGATGTGTGCTGCTCAAAAGAATGTAAAGAACACGGAATTGGGTGTTCCTTAACTTCTTTTGAATAGTATACATATACCACATCAGTGCAACAAACCTCAGGGTAGATTAGCTTCTATGTATCCATTGAGATACAGCTTCTTTTTCTGGGTCTATTTTGAGTGTCTCTGTGCCTACTCTGAGTTTAAGCTGGTATAAGAGGCATACCAGAAGGCAAAGATGGTTATCACCTAACACTGAGCAGTCCTAGCTTACAAACTCACTGGACGCATGGTGCCTGGTAGTCTAGTGGTTTCATTCCAAACATGGATAAGCTTTACAAACTGGCACTGGTCCCACAGTACCATAACAAACTCATAAGGTTAAGTGAGTGAGTGAGTAAGGTTTTACGCCGCTTTTAGCAATATTCCAGCAATATCACGGCGGGGGACACCAGGAATGGGCTTCACACATTGTACCCATGTCAGGAATCGAACCTGGGTCTTCAGCATGAGGAGCGAACGCTTTAACCACTAGGCTACCCGACCGACCCCATAAGGTTAAGGAATGAATAGGACGAGCAGTATAACTAAAATCTTGAGTGTTGTTTGTTCGTTGTTTAATGCCAGCAATATTCCAGCTACATGACAGCAGCGTGTTAATAATCAAGTCTGAACCAGATAATCCAGTGACTGACATTATGAGCAATGATCCACGCCATCGGAGTACGATAACACGTTATTGACCCAGTCTCAGAGACCACCAGATCCATCGGGTCTCCTCTTACAACCAGCATAGGCTGCTAGAGATCTATTCTAACCCAGCATCCCCACGTGTTCAAATATATATCATGAAGACCTGCGACAAAATCTCTCGAGTGATCTAAATGGTAAAGCAGAAATACCCAAAAAAATTAGGAAATTAGTAATATCTGTCATTGTTATTGAATGAATGAGTTGGGTTTAACGCCACTTTTAACAGTATTCCAGTTATATCACAGCGTGTCAGCTTAATGTGGGAGGAAAGCCTGAAGTGATGCAGGTCTCAGACGTTTATCACTTCAGTGAAACCCACGAGCACGGGTATGGTGCTGACAAACCTAGAAACATAAAATATCTGTCATAATTATTGCCTAAACTTAACAACTAAACAAAAAAATGAGGTCAAGAAATTTTTGAGAATTGTAAACTTACCATTATTTTTGAAGTTTTTGAGTTCTGTTTTGGCTGCTGCCTCAGTGATATCCTCATAGTTGATGATGAAGAGGATGATGTCCGCATGCTCATTCTTGACTGGGGCCACCAGTGCACTGCATAAGAACTTCGAGCCTGAAAATAACAATCACATATACATTTCTGTATCACCAAAACCATTTTTCTAAACACAAGGTGAGGTGAGGTGAGGTGGGATTTAACGTTGTGTTCAAGATTATTGCACTTATATAGCTATGTGTATGAGTGTGTGCGGCTGCTTGTACTAGTCAGGACTAATGCCGATTTTATAGTGCTAGACCAGAGATATGATGCCCCAGTTTAACATTGATACACCACTCAGACACAGTACACTGACTCCGAGCCGACCAGTCCTTGTTTTAGCCCCCTCAGATACCATGACGCAGTTTAACCTGGATACCACACTCAGACACAGTACACTGACTCCGAGCCGACCAGTCCTTGTTTTAGCCCCCTCAGATACCATGCAGCAGTTTAACCTGGATACCACACTCAGACACAGTACACTGACTCCGAGCCGACCAGTCCTTGTTTTAGCCCCCTCAGATACCATGACGCAGTTTAACCTGGATACCACACTCAGACACAGTACACTGACTCCGAGCCGACCAGTCCTTGTTTTAGCCCCCTCAGATACCATGACGCAGTTTAACCTGGATACCACACTCAGACACAGTACACTGACTCCGAGCCGACCAGTCCTTGTTTTAGCCCCCTCAGATACCATGACGCAGTTTAACCTGGATACCACACTCAGACACAGTACACTGACTCCGAGCCGACCAGTCCTTGTTTTAGCCCCCTCAGATACCATGCAGCAGTTTAACCTGGATACCACACTCAGACACAGTACACTGACTCCGAGCCGACCAGTCCTTGTTTTAGCCCCCTCAGATACCATGACGCAGTTTAACCTGGATACCACACTCAGACACAGTACACTGACTCCGAGCCGACCAGTCCTTGTTTTAGCCCCCTCAGATACCATGACGCAGTTTAACCTGGATACCACACTCAGACACAGTACACTGACTCCGAGCCGACCAGTCCTTGTTTTAGCCCCCTCAGATACCATGACGCAGTTTAACATGGATACCCCACTCAGACACAGTACACTGACTCCGAGCCGACCAGTCCTTGTTTTAGCCCCCTCAGATACCATGACGCAGTTTAACATGGATACCCCACTCAGACACAGTACACTGACTCCGAGCTGACCAGTCCTTGTTTTAGCCCCCTCAGATACCATGCCGCAGTTTAACATGGATACCACACTCAGACACAGTACACTGACTCCGAGCCGACCAGTCCTTGTTTTAGCCCCCTCAGATACCATGACGCAGTTTAACATGGATACCCCACTCAGACACAGTACACTGACTCCGAGGCGACCCGTCCTTGTTTTACCCTACTAATGCCAAGCACCAGGCAAGGTAACAACAAGTACCATCTCTTAACGTCTTTTGGTATGATGCAGCCAGGGATCGAACCCCAACCTTCCTCTCTCCTGGCAGACGTTCTATCACTAGACCACGGAGCCGGTTCTTTTAAATATAAGCTACAGAAGCTCTGTAAAGACTGACAAATTAAAAGTCTACATTGTATTCTGGATATGTCATGGGCATGTGATATTAATATCAGCGTTAGAAATTGGCACTAGTCCTATAGTCCTTGCCAAACTGCCCAATGGTAAAGGTATCATAAGGACTAGTAGAAATTTGCCCTTTTTAAGGGTTTTGCTATATGTTATCATTATAAGGACTAGTGGACAAAAACTGTTAGTTTCTAACCCTGAATATGTTCAGTAGTTTTTATTCTTTCATGATCACTGCAAACAGACAAGGGAGAGACAAGCTGTACAGCGATGTGACGTTAAGCTTTAACTCACTCACTCACTCACTCAAGCTGTACAGGGGGCAGGGGTGGCCAGTCGTCTTTGGCGTTGCAATTCCATCGCTTGGGCACAACAGAAAGCTGGGTTGGAATCCCGGTTCACCCTGATTATGTTTCTAGGTTGTCAGAACCAGTTCATGGGTTTCACCAAAGTGGTAAACACTTTCAAGACAAAACTAAAGACTTATCTCTTTAGATGTGTCTATGACTCTGTGTGAGGCGCTATGAGCGACTATGTAGACGGAAAAGGCGCTGAAGAAATGGACTTTATTATTATTATTAAATGTCTAAGACCTGCATCATTTCGGGCTTTCCTCCCACATTAAGTTGACATGCGGTGATATATCTGGAATACTGTTCCAAGCGTCATTAAATAACTCCCCCATTCTGTCTCTACAAGGCACTGGTCAGTAGTGAGTGAGTGAGTGAGTGAGTGAGTGAGTGAGTGAGTGAGTGAGTGAGTGAGTGAGTGAGTGAGTGAGTGAGTGAGTGAGTGAGTGAGTGAGTGAGTGAGTTGGGTTTAACGCCGCTTTTAACAGTATTCCAGTTATATTAGCTTAATGTGGGAGGAAAGTCGAAGTGATGCAGGACTTGGACGTTTACCACTTTGGTGAAACCCACGACCCCGGGTATGGTGCTGACAAACCTAGAAACATAACTGGGGCAAACCGGGATTCGAACCCACAATCATAGGTTTCTGGCGTGCCCAAGGGACACAACTCTGCACAGTGAATTGCGGCGCTTTAGACGACTGGGCCACCCGTGCCCCCCACTGGTCTGTACGAAGTCTTATCATGCAGAGAGCATCCCAGACGTAAACTGCTACCAAATACTGAATGAGAGCTATTACATTGGCTTGACTATGCAGACTGACAAGAGCATTATGACAGCTGAGATTGATTCTAAATCCCCTCAGACTACAGAATGAAAATTAAATCGAAATTGTTTTCCATGAGTGGAGATTTTCATACAAGACATGATGCAACACGAACTGGAGGATCCTATAACAGATGCAGGAACAAGTGGAGGCCCCTGTAACACATGCTGTAATAAGTGACAAAACAGGTATGAAAATTATATGAATGGATCACTGAAAATCAGTGATGACACCAGTTGTTTGCGAACAAGTAAGCATGTCCTGCCCTACTGTTAGCACCCGCCACTCACACAATTTACAGATTCTAAAATAACTGGAGGATTGTAGTCTCAGGCTCTGGGAGATTCACCCTAAGCAGAGAAGAAGTAGCCAAGTCACAAGTGTTGAAAGTAGATAAGACAACCCAAGTAAAACCTCTGCCAGCAATGCAACCACTGCTAATGTCCTGTCAGAACAATCACATCCAGGTATGTATCACCCCTGCAAGGGGGAACTTGATAACATTGATACACCACTTGGCCAGATGGCTCCGATATTCAGTATAATCACCAGCAATGTCAGTTGGTAACAACTGTCCTACTTTCTTCCTACATTATTTACAATGATGTTTGTTTGTTTCTTTGTTTGTCAGCAATATTCCAGGTATATGACGCTGGTCTGTAAATAATCAAGTCTGGACCAGACAATCCAGTGATTAACATCATGAACATCAATCTATGCAATTAGGATACGATGACATGCATCAACCTGATCCCGTTAGTCACCTCTTAAAACAAGCATAGTCGCCTTTTACGTCAAGCATTGGTTGCTCAAGACCTATTTTAACACGGATCTTCATGTCTCTTTTTTACAATGAAATGGGTTGGGTATTTAGAAATACCATATATTACAAAGAACAGGCTGAGTTTTTAAAATAAAGATCCATGGCATGAAAAAGTACATACTGTATACTCTACACCACCAGTCTGTCAAAGACTTGACGAGATTACCAGAGCTTCACTCTTGGTGAAATATATTTTTCTTTGCCCAAAATAAAACGTGTGTTTCTTCTCTCGGTCCATCCCAAAATAGCGTAGGGTACAACCAAATGTTGAGTGAGTATGGTTTTACGCCACTTTTAGCAATATTCCAGCAATGTGATGGCGGGGGACACCAGAAATGGGCTTAACACATTGTACCCATGTCGGGAATCGAACCGGGGGCTTCGGCGTGACGAGCAAACTGTTTGACCACTAGGCTACCCGACTGCCCACATATGCTTTGAACATTGAGGACTTGAGACATGCATTTAACAGATTGAGACACCAAAGAGGGACAATTTGAGCAGTAATACATATATTTGCGTCATAATAGTTAACTTTAAGTTGCAGGAAAATAACAATTTTGTTTCTTATAATAAAGAAATTGCTAACCCATCACCCCACCAAATGATGATATTATATAGGAAATACGATATGTTGTGATAAGCAGCAGGTTAACATTAAACCCATCTCACTCACTACAGACCAGTGCCTTGAGTGAGTGAGTGAGTGAGTGAGTGAGTGAGTGAGTGAGTGAGTGAGTGAGTGAGAGTGTTTGGTTTTACGCCGCTTTTAGCAATATTCCAGCAATATCACGGCGGGGGACACCAGAAATGGGCTTCACACATTGTACCCATGTCTGGATTCGAATCCGGGTCTTCGGCGTGACAAGCGAACGCTTTAACCACTAGGCTACCCGACCTCCCCGAGACAGAGTGAGGGAGTTTCAACAATAGGTAATTGATAACAAATAGCACACAGATAATTAGATGAAGTCAGGTGTACTGTAAGGAATAAGGATTAAGGTGTTGTTACTAGCTTGATTGGATACTAATTAAAAGAGTCAGTTGCTTGATCTTCATAGGCTTAGGATGTTATACCTATGATCAATAAAGTTGTACGTTTTCTTATCAACTAGAACCCATGAAGATCCAGGTTAGAATCAGTCTCCAGCAATCCATGCTTGTCCTTAAATGCAGCTAACAGGATCAGGTGGTCAGGCTTGCTGACTTGGTTGATGCCTATCTTCATATCCCAGTTGTGTATATCGGTACTCATGATGTCAATCACTGGATTGTCTGGTCCAGACCATTATTTACAGACTGCTGTCATATAGCTGGAATATTGCTGAGTGTGGCGTTAAACAACAAACATGCTTGTCCTAAACAAGCATAAACTAGCAACTAGAAACACACATATACTTTTTTGGCCTTACTAATTGGGGCCGTGTATGATTGAGTGGCATCATTTACTTCTGACTTGACAGCTCTGTTAGCACTCCGCCATCCAACACACCAACAAGTTTGTTTTTAGAAACGGCTTTGTGGCAAAACAAGGCTTTCTAGGCAACTCCTTGACAGCAGGGCAAAGCCTGAATGTTCGGCTTGTCTATTACATGAAACATGGATTGGGAAGTGCCAAAAAAGAAAACATTTTACACTGTCTGTTTGACCTTTGGTTTGAAATATTGTAAATGGTTTTATGAATGGTAAGAAACGCAAGGTTCTGACGGCTCAAGCAGGAAGGGCTGAGTAAAACAGAAAACATTTTACACTGTCTGTCTGACCTTTGGTTTGAAATATTGTAAATGGTTTTATGAATGGTTACCCTTACAAAAAAAAAACCCAGAAAAGATGTATCCGAGACCGCCCCGAGACCGTCCCGATGCATCTTTTGTGGGATTTTAGCCAATTTTTATGGTCTCGGCTAGCCGAGACTTTGTGGAGACCCATCAAAGACTATTCTGGGGAATAATCAAGTACTTCCCCAAAAAAGCAATTATATACTTATGTCACCGAAGACGTTTCTAATGCATCTCCACTAGCAGTGGATGTCTGGGGAGATCTCTAAAGATGTTTCGGAGACTTCTCCACAGACCAGCAAAAAAGCTAAGATGTCTCGGATACGTCTTCGCTAGTGAAGACCTTCAAAACAATTTGCAAAGACTATTCGGAGACTTCCTCGGAATGGCAATAAAGTAGCTGAAGGTTTGCAAGGATGTATCAAGTGCATCCTCGCTAGCAAAGACCACACAAAGACTTTGTGAATACTATTCAGTGACTTCTTCATAAGGCAAGAAAATAGTTGACTGTCTGCAAGGATGTATCGGCGACTTCTTTACATACAAAATTGAAAAGGTACTGTTGAGTTTCCTAGTTTGCTAGTGGAGATCTTCGAAGCAATTGTTTGGAGACTTATACTTCATCACTAGGCAACTTGAAAAATGGTTTGCAATGCATCCTCACTTTCAAAAACCAAATGAAGAATTTTGTAAGTTTATACCTTTCAAAGACACCCTTTGATACCATTCAATAGACTGAGCTTCAGTCAAGACCTAGAACCTTGATGACATGATCTTTATTATTTATTTTGAATTTTCTTTAAAACTATTGATCTTATAAATTCACATGCAATGAATTAGAGAATCCTATGTATGTCAACAAAGACATAAATAATGAAATACTCAACACAGTTAATTCTTCTAGGTACATTTTTATTAAATACAGTAAAAACAAATGCAGGAATTTGAGTATACAATATTCTGGAAAATGAAAAGAATGTACAATATATTCATAAATTTCCATCAGAAAGTAACAGTGTTTGTGTACCATATAACAGTCTCATCAGAAAAAAGTTATATAAGAATAGCCAACACAGAAATTTTAAGAGGTCAGAGGGTTTCTCTATAAAACCTGCTGGATATTTATCCTGACACGTGCATGGAGGAATGTGAAATATGAACACAAAGGTGTGTGAGAAAGTTCTTTTCTCAACAGAATGAGGGAGTGATTAAAAGTGACTGTCCATTCATTGTTGAAAAAAAATGTTTATGAAGTATTTGTTTCTTTACATGCATTTACCAATATATTGATTTGAGGTTATTTACATAAATGCAATAAATTAACATCTTGATTCACTATTCATGTATTTGAATGAATTTAATATTTGCAACAACTGTCCCAGACGAGCCAATTTAGAGTTATTTCCATTCACAGTGGGTTCAATTACATTACAGGTCACCTTCTATGTTGTTGGGTTGTTCACAAAAGAAAAGGGTGTCATCAATGACAACTGGTATCAATAAGGATATTAAGTTCTTAACTGGTATGATAACTACCCCCATGTGTTCAGTCTGTGCCTTAACTAATTTTACATGGGATGGCTCAACACCAAGAAAGTTGTCAGCTTCATCCTCATAAGATGAAAATATGGATCTTGCATCCACATCATACGGAGTGATGCAGGCCAGCATCTTGCAACTGTCATCACAGTGGTTTTTTTCACATATACAATTGACATCTTGGGTGAAACAAAACCAGTTGATAACACCCCTTCTTTTGTTTTCTTTTTCTCTGAACATAACTGCTGATGAATTTCTTTTCAATGATCTAACATACTCTTTGGAATGAAAGGTTTTTCCTCTCAACTTAAGCTGCTTGAAGACCATGAAGTCTTTAGGTTCAGCCCCTAAGAAATCTATCAGTGCAACATTATGGACACTACAGAGCTTCTTCTTGAAGCCCTTACCAATAAATTTACAAGACTTGGTCAACTCTCCTTGCAAGTAGTGTTGGGAATTCTTGCAGAGTTTTGTTAGGAATTCATAGGCTGGAGAATCTTTCTTTACAGAGGATAGCATTAAAGGCATCAGTTGCATCATGTTAAAAGCATTCATAATTTGTAAGTCAACATGTTGTGTCCCATGAAACATTGACATAAGATTACCATTAAGATTTTCGAATGGGAAACAAGAATGTACCCAGAGAGGACCAAGGTTTTGTACAGTTGAGGGCAAGTGCAAAAGAGAGTGGACATTAAGTGTTAAGTATCTCTCTCCATACAAATCTGCAAACATGTATACAAAATAGTCTAACAAAACCTGTCCATTTTTCACATCTGCTTCAGAAATACTGTCCATTGAAAGTAAGGTGATGGCTTCAACAAAACAAGTGTAATGATAAAAATACACATAAGGCAACAAACCTCGCAGAATTGGAATTGAGTAAAATAGAAGCCATGATCTTAATTCAGCAGCTTTCCAGTATTTTAAATGTTCATTTATGGATCTAGGCAGCCTCGATATGTTGGATGGTGGTTTTACAGAACAAAGCAAATTGTCAACAGAATTAACATATGGCAATAAAGAAAATCTTGAGGCGGCATGTGCTGAAGAAAACCATAAAGTAAGGAGCAATTTAGTTACGCCTAAAAGAACACAATGCATGTAGTCTACACTGCATGATCGAACATAATCAAAGCTGGACAGATTCATAAGGAAGGAGTAACCTTTGATTCCTTCAACTGGTTGTACAGAGCTAGCAGTTAGTGAATTTCTAACGGAATCAGTGGCGGTACGAGCGGGACCACTAGGATCCTCTTCAACATAAGGGAATATGTGAACATTGCCACCTTTATCAGTTCGGAAGTTTTTCCCTTTTTGTGTGCAAAAAAGACAACTGTGCGATCCATTGAACTGAACCATATTTAAAACTGAACTTTTTGCAGGTAGATCGGCAGTCAAAGCAATTAGAAAACAATGGCAAATAACAGATTCACCATTTACTTCAACCTGCACACCATTTGTTTCAAGGTCTGACAAAGATGCCTGAAGGGGTTCACAAAATGTACTCATACATGGCTTTGTTGACCCAAACCATATCCCATACATAAGCATATTAGTTTTTGACTTCCTTTGCTTGAATGGGAGTTCATTAACCATCAAATATACTGGCCACATGGACATTTGTGAGCTTTTAAACAACGGAACCCCATCAGTGTTGAAAGTAAATGATATGTTGTATGGATGCTTTTCTGAAAGTGGTCCATCATTGACAACAAATTGTTGATATACGTTTGAGTCATATATGTCCTCATAGTTTCTTGCATTTTTCTTCTGCCGGTGGAATCGGTGGCCCAGACCAGATACAAAAGTTTGGTTTTTGAAAAAGGAACGCAGCTGATGGTAAAGTGGGAACACAAGGAAAAAACTCTTAGAACTAGAGGCTAACAGGGACTTGGAACAAAAAGTGTTGGGACAAATTTCTTCTTTTGACACAGGCGAATGACAGTTGTTACAATAATAGAATCTCTGCAGGGGAGATTCAAAAGAAGCAAATGTCTTTCTCAGCATATACACACTCTGCAGGGCTTTAGGCTGTGACAAACAGTGCAACCGTATCAATACCAGTAAATCGGCCAACATGGCACCGGTAACAGAGTGACACATAGCAAACAATGAGATCAGCATAATGCTTAAGCCTATGGACATCCAATGTCCATCATATATGGGCTGGTCCATTTCTGAATTGGGCTCAGCCTGGGTGCCATCCCCTTCATCTTTCTTGGCAGGTTCCTCTTCCCTCTGTTGTTGCTGGACATAATCAGTCAGCAGGTCACTGATTGTGAGTCCTGAAACAATCAATGGCACATGATAATGTACAAACAAATACAAAGTTATAAATGATACAAGAAAGTGCTGGTAATTTGCTGAATAATATACTGAATAATTTATTTCACCATGCATGAACCATCCATATACATTTTGACAATGAGATAAGTCAGTTGAAGTCTAATTAAGCAAAGTGCCATTTATGCATTTATGGATTATGAAACTGAAGGCAATAATATCCCTTAAAATTTTAGTGTATCTTCACCTTCTGCAGCACTTGTGCAAGGAGCATCAAGAACGTCAGCAATGCTTTGCTTTGTGGGCTCAATTCTGAAAAGAAATTGTATATAACATGTTAGATATACAAGCCATGATCACATTATAGTGGTAATTATTCAAAACAGGCTATGACTGTGGCATTTTATCTATGAGCAATGATTAATATAATGTTTAAAATTCATTATTTCTGGTATGACTCCCGATTTTAAATAAATTGAAATACTTAGACCTTCATGGAAAATATATTTCATAAGTCAGTCAAGGACGTAAAACAAAATACCTTTTCTTTGAGCTCCTTTTGTCATCCTCTCTGTGTCCAAAATGACCTTCAGGGACACTAAAAATACAATATGCACATTTTCATTTCCCATAACATACCATTAATGTGAAAAAGCTCGCAATAAATAAATCAAATTCAAAGCAGGTTAAAAATAATGTTTTACAGCTAAATAACATCTCATTTAAGGAAATGAATCAAGGTCCATGTTCACATGTTATTTATTCTTTTGTTCGTTGATGATGTTCATAGACACGCAAAAATGCAGGAAATAGGTAATAACACAACCAGACCATTAAATTGTTAACGACAGTACACACAGACGAGAAGACTGTATGCTCATTACAGCTCTTGGCGGTCAAGGCGAGACAATACCTATGATTAACGACCTATGCAATAACCACATGTATTACATTAATGTGGAAGTAAACTAGGCCTGAAAAGGCGATGAAACTGTGTGTCACTCGACAGATCGAAGCTAAGATAGTTGACGGTTAGCAATAATAGAATTGACATCTGTGTACATATATTCTGCCCATTCCCGAAAGTTTTAAGGTTAAATGACTTACTTGTCTTTGACAATTTTCCTGTACTTTCTTGGCCGCAGTCTCCCAATGCTGTCTTCTTGATGATCTGAATAACGAACAAATCATGATCTTAAATATATCCGTCCATTTCTACATGCATGTCAGCACTTAAACTGGTGCTCGCTACCATTTGAATTCATCAATCAGATACGTCATTGTTATCAATTTTTTCGGATTTTGTGTAAAGATCTACATCTTTTTACTGAGTCGCAATCACCATCTTGCGAATGTTTGAAACAGAAGATTATGAAAAACGAAACGAAACGGAAACGAATTACAAAGGAGTGGTTATTCGATCTTAAAAAACTTTAGAAAACAAAAGTGTACGAATGTAGATGCCTGTACAAATGGCATTATATTTGGAGGAAACGTTTAGATTCCGATTTCCATATATAATCATAATTAATATACGAATTTTGTGTTCGTTGAGAATTCTACATTATTAATAATAAAAATTGAGTAAGTCAAACAGAAAACGGCTCCCCGAGAAGACTTACCTGCGTTAGCCATGTTCAAAGCTTTGTACTTGGTGAAGGTTAAATGTCTTCGAGTTGTAGGTTTGATCTATCTTTATAATGACTCGGGTGCGGAATATGTTCCTTCGATTGGATCCTCTTTGTACTCGGTGACGGTTTAATGTCTTCGAAATGCACGTTCGATCTATCTTTATAATGACTCGGGTGCGGATACCTTTGATTGGTTCCTCTCATTCTTCTTTGAATGCAGATTAAAATATCAGTACATTCTAACTCATTTAGCAATTTTCAAAGCCGTCCATTCATCATGCGTGTCATCACATTAGGCAGTTTTTGGAACCGAAAGCCTACTCGTAACTTGTCACAACACACCATAAGCAGATTAAAATATGTACAATGCGTTGTCAAACGACTTCCTGTGACAAGTCTTTTGTTTTAGGTGTGTGTGATGTCAGTACCATTTGAAAAGCTGGTCACAAGTGTGAGACGCACTTATGTTTACATAAGTATATATACGAAGTTGACAATATAGTGGGCTGAAGCCAACTTCAGCGTGGGCACAGGCTGGTCAGTTTCAACAAAACAATTGTCAGCCCCTCTCATGTCAATTATATTACCATTGTGTTTTGACTCCGATCATACCTAATAGATTTGCCTTTCACAAGCACTTGCATATAAATAGTTTGGCTTTTTCTGTGAAATGTTATCAGTCTGTACGCATTCGTCAGTACTGCCCAATCTATCGGTTTCATCAATTTGTGAGATCTGTCCGCTTTTACGCTAAAAAGAATTTTGCCACAAACGTAAGCAGTTTGTCCGCTTCCGTCAGTATATTGTCCAATTTATCGCTTTCATCAAATTTGAGAGATCTGTCCGCTTTTGAGTTGAAGAGAACACTTTTGCCACAAACGCACGTCACCCTCTAAGATGTCTGAAATCCGTGGCAATAAGCATGATAAGAGAGTCACCAAACCTTCGTCGAGGTACGCTGACTCCGAGTTCAGCAAGGAAGACAACGTATGTTCCCGAACAAACGGTAGGTACATTTTAGATTTATATAAGATCTAGATATATTAGATTTGGTTAACGTAAATATATTTTATAAATTATTGCCCCCTACATTGTCTACATACCAATTACCACCGAAACGACCCCCATCCAAACCAATTCTCAATTAGATATTGAACTAAATTTTAGCGTGACCTGAAAAAGAAATCCTCTTCAATGTCCATTCATGATTCGTATATTTATGTTCTTAATTTGGGAACCTCAAAACTGAAATGGAAAAACGTTTTTCTATGTAATAAATATGGCTAAGTTTAAATCATAACTTGTTTAAATGGTGGACCTTTTATTCATATAACTCTCCGACTGCCCCTGACTATTCACAAAAAAAAATAATAGGCGTAGATGTAATTGCTTGTAAAATTGTGCCGGACTTCCAGATTTCACGTTTCGATCACATCGTGCATCTCCGTAAGATTTACGGAGAGCGTCGAAGGGTGGATTGGGATATATAGTATTTTCCCAAAACAAATTAGGTATCTGGGCACTGAAATGTGAAATATGATCTCATACTGTAGTCTGTGTTTATGAAATTATTAAATTATTAGATAACAATATATATTTGTTTTATTTTAAACTTTGTTTTAAATTTTTTTTTTTATAAAATGAAACATAGTTTGCTTATTTACACACAAATGTCAATAGTTGTATGGTACCGTATCGCCGCCATTTTGGAACCAGTTGTTTTCACGAGGAGGTTGGTAGATATTTTTTTAAAGAACTCTCAAGTAAGGGCAATTCTTTTACAGTAATGTATATGTTGGAAATGAAAATATAGCCATCGTTCCTGTAAATGTTGTGTGTCATGAAAATTACGTTGCTTTATGCCGATTTCCCGTCGACATGCACCATGGCTATTACGGCAGAGATCTAGAATTATGATTTGGGCTGGCACCAGGTTGTAATAATATTTGTAGTAAAGTTTTTGTCAACTTTGCCTGACAGTTTAGTTTTATGTTATTAATGAATGCAACTTGACTTTTCAGCCCCCTTCCTAGTGGTGCAGTTTGAGGATAAAAAGGAAAGATATATAACAGACTTGGGAGAAGTTACAACACCTGAAGATGAGCCGGTTACGTGGGAGGGGGTTAAGGAGAAGATGCCAGTTGCTGCCTTGTGGCCAGATACCGGTTGTTTTTATGATGCCACCATCACCAGTGTGGTACTCCAAGGTCAGTTGTTTTTAAAAGTGTCAGGGGGTATATTTAATTTTAGGTTACTGTTACTAAATAAGTTATGAAACTAACTAGATGACCTACAAAGTGCAAGCATAGGTAAAGAGTTCATACAAAATACATAATCTTTCCTGTGTTAGGTAGTCTACAACCTCTGCATTATGGAATAATTCAAACTTGAGTGTTTGAGCACTGAGTACTTGTAGATTGCATGACCATTTCCTACTATATTCTACACACATTTAGATTTGAGTGTGTAATGATTTTGGACATCACTATTAACTGACTGTCTAATCACAAGATCTCAACTAATTGATAACATTTAAAATCTAGTTTGGTACCTGCTTTATTTTATTTTATTTTTTTCAGAATCTCCATCCAAGAGGACCAAGAAGACCAGGCTAGCATCAGCCAAGTCACAGACTAGTGGTATGTTCTTTAGCTATTAAAACATTATACCTTTGGACTGGAACCATTTCACCTCCTTTAATGCTCTTGTTTGCAATTTATTTTACTGTATCATGAATTATGAAGCATTGATTTTGTCATCCTGTGTAACATGTATTCTTTTTTCAACAGTTCTGAAGGCGGCAAAGAAAAATCAGCAGGAACTTCGCTCCAGACTTGCTAACCAGAGGGCAAAATCTTTGTTCACTAGCAGAGCACTCCAGCCTTCCCCATCCAGTAACTCGCATCAGCCTCCTTCCCCATCCACTAACTCGCATCAGCCTCCTTCCCCATCCACTAACTCGCATCAGCCTCCTTCCCCATCCAATAACTCGCATCAGACTCCTTCCCCGTCCACTAACTCGCATCAGACTCCTTCCCCGTCCACTAACTCGCATCAACCTTCCCCGTCCACTAACTCGCATCATCCTTCCCCGTCCACTAACTCGCATCAACCTTCCCCGTCCACTAACTCGCATCAACCTTCCCCATCAAGTAACTCCATCTGGCCTTCCCAGTTGCTTCACTCATCTCTGCCTTCTCGCTCACATCAACCTTCCCAGCCTTCCCAGTCACTGCACTCTCCTCAGCCTTCAAACCACTACCACAGTTCTCCCCAGCCTTTACAACCCCCCCTTGCATTTCCTAACCAGCCTTACCTACCCCAGTCTTCCCCAGCCTTGCTGACCCAACACCCCAGCGCACAACAATGGCCTATCACAACCCGCAACCCTTATCACCATGTATGGCAACAGTCCCCCACCCCTCAACTAACTGCCCAAGAACCTGGCGCATTTACGGCTCTGCTAAGAAGCTGTGAAGATTGCCCTTTGAAAGAAGTGCTGATACAAACGCTACAAACCGAGCTAAACCTTTGGAGGGACCGAGCCCTGAAGGCCGAAGAAGAAGTTCGTGAACTTCAGACGAATGTGCCAGGTATGTTGAAACAAAGATGCTTGAAAATCATCTTTAAAAAAAAATCAGTTGCTATTCTTATTATATGCAATACCAGTATAATAAATGGAAATGTTAAAATAAAAAAACCATACATACATAAAATATATAAATAACACCAAAAAAGAAATCTTCAGCTTGTTATCCTAGTTGTTCACATCACAACACTACCCCATAGAATAATTTTTTGTTGTTTAATATTTTGCAGACACCACAACCAAGCCGCCAACGTACAAGCCCCTCCGAGGCGTACAAGTGCCAAGATGCCATTATGTAAGTAAATGAATATGCTGTTTAAAGACAACACTTCCGAAATTGAATTTAATTTGCATACAGTTGTTTTTTACTTCACTACTGCATGTCATTTGAATTGCTCATAATTTTTGGGTTAACAGGTACAGCTCAGGGGAGATGACAAGCTGCCATCAGGTTATCAACTACTGACTCAAGGGGCCAGCCTGGCTGTTCCCATCACATGGTATGCCCATGTGATGTCAAAGTCTTGCAATGTTGGGGATAGTGGGAAACTAAAGCGCTTCATGGATGGATTCTTTGAACCCTCTGACGTTGGACAAGGCACTGCCGCAATGTTTAAAAGAAAACATGCCCTTGTATTGCAGGCTCTAGAGAGTAAGTATTATCTAAACAGCTCAAATTCTCAAGTTTCATGAGGAAATTAATAAATACCCCCAGAAATCGGTATTAAAGAATTTCAAATACACTGATAATGGATATATACTATAAATATTAAATACAACAATGTCATTTTATATTGTTTTATTTTATCAAATGACTTGTTATTTTGCAGTTTTTGCCACTGAGAGGCTCAAGTTGCTTCCAAATCAGTTTTCTGATGCACTTAGCAAGAAGATTTGTACCTTGAGAAATGCTTTCAGGCGAATGAGCCAGGGTAAGTTTATATTGTGTTTCATTTGTTACATCAGTAATCTGGTAGCAAAAATATTTTTTAATGCATCTTCTTGACATCCTAAGACCTGGGTTCGATTCCTGACGTGGGTACAATGTGTGAAGCCCATTTCTGCCGTTATATTGCTGGAATATTGCTAACAGCGTCGTAAAACCATACTCACTCACGACATCCTATAATTTTTATAATAATTGCCACAGATTAATAGTAATATTTTATCCCATTTCAGCCCCTTGAAGTGTCTGCTTGTTGTGAAGATCCGGGGTAGTCTTCAGAAACCCATGCTTGCCGTAAATGGTGGCACGTGGCTCGTACCGTACTGTTGGTGGTACTAATGCGGTGGTACTTCCTCCACCGAAACTGTCTGGAGGGCAACATCATTCCATGCTGACCAGCTCATCACTTGGAAAGCAGGAAACAGGATCACCCAGCTAAACACCTCGCCAACGTTGGCGAAGCTGCTGCTTATGAAATGAACACTGTGAAAGTTACAAATGTCAGTCTAAAATCTATTTGCTGAAAGAAAAACACTTTCATCACACAAAGTGAGAACATTCTGCGAACTTCAAATAAAGAGAACACCATGCATCTTTGTTATCTCATTTTTGACTGTACATGTTTCGCAAGGATGTTTCAGAGACTAGATAATGATCTAGTATTACTGAAAATGATGAAACACCTTTGTAATGGGGACTTCCTAAGAAGGTTTGCCGGGATTGTTCAAAGCAATTAATTACTCGATAGGTTAGTGAAGACGCTTCAGAGACTTCCTTGCAAGTGTTGCGGGGATGCTTCAGAAACATCTTTAATTACCTAATAATAGTTTGTGGGGACTATTCGGGGACTTCCTAAGAAGTTTGCCGGGATTGTTCAAAGCATATTTAATTACTCATGATAGGTTAGTGAAGACGCTTCGGAGACCTCCTTGCAAGTGTTGCAGGGATGCTTCAGAAACATCTTTAATTACCTAATAATAGTTTGCGGGGACTATTCGGGGACTTCCTAAGAAGGTTTGCCGGGATTGTTCAAAGCATATTTAATTACTCGATAGGTTAGTGAAGACGCTTCGGAGACCTCCTTGCAAGTGTTGCGGGGATGCTTCAGAAACATCTTTAATTGCCTAATAATAGTTTGTGGGGACCATTCGGGGACTTCCTAAGAAGTTTGCCGGGATTGTTCAAAGCATATTTAATTACTCATGATAGGTTAGTGAAGACGCTTCGGAGACCTCCTTGCAAGTGTTGCGGGGATGCTTCAGAAACATCTTTAATTACCTAATAATAGTTTGTGGGGACTATTCGGGGACTTCCTAAGAAGTTTGCCGGGATTGTTCAAAGCATATTTAATTACTCGATAGGTTAGTGAAGACGCTTCGGAGACCTCCTTGAAAGTGTTGCGGGGATGCTTCAGAAACATCTTTAATTGCCTAATAATAGTTTGTGGGGACTATTCGGGGACTTCCTAAGAAGCTTTGCCGGGATTGTTCAAAGCATATTTAATTACCCCTGATAGATTTGTGAAGACGCTTCGGAGACCTCCTTGCAAGTGTTGCAGGGATGCTTCAGAAACATCTTTGATTACCTAATAATAGTTTGTGAAGACTATTCAGGGACTTTCTAAGAAGGTTTGCCGGGATGGTTCAAAGCATATTTAATTACCCCTGATAGATTTGTGAAGACGCTTCGGAGACCTCCTTGCAAGTGTTGCAGGGGTGCTTCAAAGACATCTTTGATTATGTAACACAAGTTTGTGAAGAATAACCGGGGACCTCCTTAGTAGTTTTGCCGGGATGCTTCTAAGTATATTTAATTAGCCATAAAAGGTTAGTTCTGAGGCGGTATCGGAGACTACTTCAGTAGGAACTGTAAGGAAGTCTCGGATACTTCTTGGCAAGCTGCAAGTTGGGAGTGGTTTGCCGAGATGGTGTGGAGACATTTGCTGGGAATATTTAGAGACTTCCTTAAGACCCTGCGGAGAAGGTAAAAATGTGCTTTGCGGGGAATGATTAAGGCGGTCTCGGATGCATCTTTTCAGGCCTTTTTTTTTTGTAAGGGTAGGTAACTCAAGATTCTGGCGGCTCAAGCAGGAAGGGTTAAGTAAAACAGAAGACCAGATATAATCAAAACTGTTCGACTGCAATGTGTCTTTTAATCCACTTGAACTAAGTAACGTGAACTTGGCCCTGAACATGAATAATACTTTTGTTTGTTTGTCCTCAGTCAGGGCTACAGCTTAAGAAAAAAATGTAAGAACATTTTTTTCAACCATTTGTTTGCTTGGGTACAGAAATAGGATGTTTTACTAGGAGGTCAAAGACCATAAGTAATATGTGCTCTTGGTGGTATGTTACACATATAACACAAGCTAAAGCCACCACCTGATACTGGCTTTAATACAACGCAATGTGGAGACTGCTGAATGGTGCAATCTTGTGAATAGATATTCTGTGTTTCACGTAGCTCTGAACACTATTTCAGTGTTATATCTAGGTGTGTCAGCTTAATTGAAGTGGGAGGAAGGCCATGGACTTCTAACACTTCGTGAATCCCATACACAGGTGTGTTCCTTGGGATTCTGGGTAATAGAACTATGCTGGTCATAAGAGGCTACTTAATGGATCGGGTGGTCCGACTCTGTGATTGGATGATTGGATGTCATCGTACCCTGATGGCGTGGATCGTTGTTCACAATACCAATCACTGGATTGTCTGGTCCAGACTTGATTACAGTAAACTACGTTCATAATGAACATGCTTATAACAAACTGACGGATATAACGAACTGTTTATTGTCCTGACCATTTGCTGTATATATGCTGATTACGAACTACGGTTACAACGAACTAAAATTAGTGGTTCCTTTTAGTTCATTATAACTGTAGTTTACTGTATTTACAAGTCACCGTCAGGTAGCTGGAATATTGCGGAGTGCAGCTTTAAACAACAAACACGCACAGACGCACAGACGCACACACACACGCACACACACACGCATGCTGCTGACAAACCAAGGATCAGGATCATGTTCATAACCACAATCCGTGTAGCCGACCAACCACTCAGTCCCCGTTTCAGTCCCTGCTTCACTCATCAATCAGCTTCCTCCCTTCAAGTTTACTATGTGTGTATACTACTCCAGTTAAACTGTGTCTTTGTTATTGTCATCAGTGTTAATGCCACCAGTACTTTCTTGTATACGTGTATATTACGGTATTTGCTTTATAACGGTGTTGGAACTAGGGCTGGGATGATACACCAACTGTGCGACCCGATACGTATCACGATACCTTGCTCACAATACGATACGTATCACAATTCTTGCATGTGCTCTTTTTTCATAGACGGGATGGCCAAAAACCTGGCACACTAACGATGTACAGTTGGCAGTGTCGGATGAAAATATTACTTTATTTACTACTCATTTTGACTAGTAATTAGTGTTTGGTGTAACGTTTACTGAAGAATACATTTAAGGTAAGAATCGATACTTTTTATTCTCAGGTCATCATATCCCAATTGTGGGGTCAAGACTAGATTATTTACATATAGCTGAAATATTGCTGAGTGCGCCGTTCAACAACAAACAAACTTTTTACTTATTGTGTGATTGTGATCAATACTTGTATCAAGAAGCAAAAATTTGCGATCCACCGATGCATCAGTGTATCGTCCCACTACAAGTTGGAATGCACACCCAAATCGAACAATTCTAACAAGGAAGTTGTTCATTTGTTGCTCAGTGCCGGCCAACTCCACCTATTTCAGCGATATGACGATGACCTGTAACCAATCGATTCATGACCAGACAATCCAGTTATTGACATAATGAGCATCAATCAATGACGTCCGGGTATGATGACACGTGATAAACCAAGTCACCGAGTCCAATCTGATCCATTCCGTCGCCGCTAACGACCAGCATAGAATGCAGGGGACCTACTCTAACCCCCCGAATCCCCACGGTGTGCTAGAGGGGATAATGATACATACTAAATTGTCATCAGCCAACCTCTAAATGACACTCAAAGATAATGAGAAAGTTAACTGTCATGGTATTCATTCGCACAACATTCCAATGTTTTTCAGCCTTCTGCCAACCAGGCAGTTCTGTTGTCATGGCAGCTTATGATGCCATCCATTTTCTCCGACACCAATTTCATTCCAGGGTGGTGTCATGAATTGTCTCGGCTGCTTGGGTGACACAGAAACTGTGTGCTTCCATTCATATAATTTTCACCGCTATTTTGCCTTTAACGCCTTGTGGAATCTGATTCGGCGGATAAGCAGGACTGGTTATTCCTTGGCAAGATGATGTTTTTCATCTACCCTGTCATTTTCTGAATAGACAACATGAATTTCTTTACTCAGGAATGTTTTCATGCTTGAATTTGTGAACTCAAAAATGAAAAGGCAGTGCACAATAAATTGTGAACAAAATAAAATTCCTTTGCCAAATAACTTCCAAAAGCTGCAGACTTTAACAGAAGTGTGGATGTGAGTGAATGAGGATGCTCTACGCTGTTTGTAGCAGTATCACAGTTGGGAACTCCAGAAATGGACTTCATACCTTGTACCCATGTGGTAAACCAAACTCAGGCCCAATGGTGAGATGAGCAAACACTTTAACAACAAGGCTACCCCACCAGCCCTAAATAAATACATGTATCACAAAAGCACATGGCAGTACAACCTTGCATATCATATTCATTCGCATAATCGCCTGTCATGGAGCAAACCTAACTGGCCTCAAGTACGTTTTAAGGACACTGGAGAAACCAAATGTTGGACATAACAATATAAAAACAGAAAGCTCAACAAGTAATTCAGATTTCAGAATGTAACCCAAACCTCGTGATTACGCTGTAATCAGCTTGGATTTAACATTCAGTTTCATTCCAAAGATGGTGAACTCGAACACTGAGTGATGACAAAATAACCTCTGAAGTCGTGTAACTTAGCCGATCCATTTCCGCCAGGTCTATTGTTTGCCAAACAGTAAATGAAGGTACTGTTTACATCTCAAACTTAAACATTTGCACTTTTTACCCTTTCATTCCAGTCGTCGGGAGCTCTGCAGTTCACCTGAGCCATAATCATGCAAATAAAAAATGTTGAACAAACATACAGCTCTATTGAGAAGCATGGGCTGGCTCTGTACACAAGTCTTCCAAGCATCTTCAAGCTGATCATTAACACAAAAAACACAGTGAAAAGGTTAAAGGATTCTTATCTGATCCATCGTATACGGAACCAAAAACTTAGGGATCATGAATATTTTATAAAGTTGTGTGCTCATTCTTCACCCTATGGCCTTCTTTCACTGGAAACAGTACCGTCCACATTAACAGTACCGTCCACATTAACAGGGTTATTCACCCTAGTAACCTCCCCTGGAAACAGTACCGTCCACATTAACAGTACCGTCCACATTAACAGGGTTATTCACCCTAGTAACCTCCCCTGGAAACAGTACCGTCCACATTAACAGTACCGTCCACATTAACAGTACCATCCACATTAACAGTACCGTCCACATTAACAGTACCATCCACATTAACAGGGTTATTCACCCTAGTAACCTCCCCTG